CCCCCAAAACCCCAAAACCCCAAAACCCCATTATTTTCTCTATGTAATGAAATTATATGAACAATAAATTGTATTTGAGTGCTTGTAGTCATGATACCTTCTTTTTCTTGAACGAGCTCTTAAATCTATACCATGAGTATGCTAAGGAGGGACCATACTTTTTATAATAACTTTGGGGCCGACCTTGACTAAATGCAGGGTCTTGATACTCAACATTCCTTGTTTTTTCACCACTCTGTGCTTCTAATTTCGTGTCAAAACGTCGTGCAATTTTGATTTGACGTCACCCAATTCGAAATTGTTTCATTTTCGACACTTTCTTGTCAGAAGCAAACATCCTATTTTTCAATAATTTTCCATGGGGGATTACAGTGATCTGCTTCACAGCTAATTTCTTAGGTCTCGCTCTCATCTTGTCTTCCTCTTGCTTCTCTAGATCTGAAGAGAGGGCTGTTTGGGTTAAATTTCTGACGCTTGTAGACTTCTTCTTCGAAGAGACTTGATTTTCTTGTTTGGATTTGTCTGAATCGATATACCTAATAGCTGGTATGCTTAAGTCTATCCTAATCTCTTCTATAATTATTACTCTTGTATTACTATTCGAGCTTTGAACACGACATTCCCTTTTCTGGTCTATAGATGACCATTTGGATTTACCTGATTTTTGAGTGTCTAAAATTCCTAAACTTCTGTTCGTTTCTGCTCATCCTGCTTGCTTCTTCAGTTTCTTAATGTGACTAAAGCTTCATGAATCTAAAACTCACTTGTAGTGCTTGGGAACTTGGTTCGATCTGGAGAGCAGCTTTAGACTCCCAAGATAGCTCCTTCTGGAAGATATATACCTCTTAACTGAAGAGTTTGTCCGATGGATAGCTTTCTTCATTGACCTCCTATACCCCTTTTCGTAACTAGTTTCAGAAGTTTTTGTAGAAAAATCATCCTCAGAATCTTCATAAGGGAGGTTAAACCTCAACACTTTCTGAGACTTTGAGTATTCCCTGATATTTCTGCAGCTAACTGAGTGGGATCTCTTCAGAGCTGGCTTCAAGCAATTAGGAGTGTTCTTGTATGGATTAAACACCAGTTTTTGATTCTTCATATTTTGCATAATTTAAGCAAAGCACTCAATATGTATGCTTATCAAGGGGTTTTGGGGTTTTGGGGTTTTGGGGTTTTGGGG